ACCGAAGCACAGAACACCGGTGGAACGTCCGCGTGTTGTACGAGGACGACCTTCCTTCACCCGTACCATATCGAGAACAACTTTGCGCCTTCGAGTTGCATACGGGTTGCTGCAAATAATTCACCTTTTTCCACCATTTTTTAATCGCAAAAAAAAAAACAATTGGTTAGACCATTTTTTCTGCAACTTTATATTTTTCACCATATTTATTTATATTTTATATTATAATCATCAATTTTTTAAAAGATTGACGACGACTCACACTCTATGATGGATAGATAATAATATTCATATTTTTCTCTACTTCGATGCAAAATGGCGGCACTTTTAAATGTCTCTCTTCGTCATATTTATTTCTAAGGATTATAATCGTTAAGAAAAAAAAAGAAAAAAAGAAAAAGAAAAAAAGAAAAAAGGTCGTTCGATGTTGTTGCATCGATGTTTTTTTTCTGAAAAGATAAAAATCAAATGTGATATTCTAGAATAATTTATAACTGTTGATCAATTTTATATAACATTGCTGCGATACTCGTTTCCTTTTTTTTTTTTTCTTTTTTTTTTCGTTATTTGCGGAATATAAACGTTATTTAAATGAATAGATTACGTATCAGTTATTATTGCGTTTATTATCCATACGCTAGTTATTTTTTATTGATCCGATTATAAAAAAAAAAACAAGGAAATGTAAATACTAAACACAGGATGATCTGTCATCTAATCGTCGATATTAATTAATTCGCGTTCCTTTTTCTTTTTAACGTTTTAATTCGTAGCAATGTTAAAGTTTGTTAAAAAAAAAACAAAAACAAATCTTTAACGATTTATAAAAATGAAAACGCATTTTCTCTTCAAAAAAAAAAAAAAATATATATATATAGCCAAAAAAAATTACTCGATAAAAATATTCGTATTGTCTGAAAAGTTTTTTACCGATCGAGAATATTTCCGTCTATAGATTTATTCCTAAATCGGCAAAAACTTTCCTGAATTAACCTAACCGTGTGTATAATAATCGTATGGGTTTATCCAGAAAATTTCTACGCCAATTAAATATTATTAATGTACATAGAAATATTTCCCTAGATCGGCAAAAATTTTCCGTTCAAATAATGGTGCGCCGGATGCATACATGCATACATATTATGCGTTATCTAACAGGAAAGTTTTTGCCGATTATGTAAAAAAAATTGTATGGACATATGAAAAGGAAAAAAAAAAAATATCAATCGTCGCAAACATTGTGTGTGCAAGCCTTAACAGTAATAGGAATAGAAGTAGAGGTCAATAAAATATATACTCGAGTAAAGTTGCATTATCAAATAACAAGAAGAAAACTAAATCCTAAAGAGGATTCTTGCGATAAGAGAATACGAACCGAGGTAAACCAACCAGTTTCCTCGACGTAGAGAAAGAAGAAGACAAGAAAGAACCAACGAATGAACGGGATGAACGAACGAACCAGCGCAAAAGAGAAAGAAAAGGATAGAAAAAAATAAAGAAAGAAATAAATAAAGAAAGATAGAAAGAGAAAGATTCGAGTAACTACGACGCACTCTCGAGTACTTTTTTCCTAGACGGGTGCAGTAAAGAGAAGGGAATGGAAGGGACGTGGGAGGGGAAGGGGGGAGGGAAGGTTAGCGGTGCGCGGAGGTTTATTCAATTAATTCGCATCTCGCAAAGCAAAGTTCGTAGCGCGCTTATTCGAACGGCGCGGAACGAACAACGTCCTAGGGGGTTTCGTTTCGCGGTTGGCACACGTGCGCAGGTGGTGAGGGAGAGGAGTGGGAGGGGGGTGGTGGAAGAAGCAGAAAAGCGTGGTGTGGCTGCTGCTGCTACTTTTCGCAAGAAAAGAGAACAGTGCTGTTGCTGCTGCTGCTGCCGCTGCTACTTTTTTACACCGGGATAAAGATAGAAAGAGAGAGAGAAAAGATCCTAGTACTTTTTTCCCCTCTTTGCTTTGGCATACGCCCGTAATACGAGAGAGGAGAAGATACAGGATAGAAAGAGTGGGGGGGAGGCGGGTTAAAAAGAAGACGAAAGAGAAATAGGAGGTGGACGAGGAAGAGTAGAGGGGATGGATGTATCGAGAGAGAGAGAAAGAAAAAAAAATAGAAGTAGGGGAAATGAGAAGGGAAGAAGAAAAAGGAGATAACGCATTTTGCGGCGTGCGAATGAACGGGAAGAAGGAGGAAGAAAGAAGGAACAAAATGAGAAATAAAGAAATTGAGAAAGAACTCTGGTGTATAGAGAGAGAGAGAGAGTAATAAGACTCGAAGTGAACGCGCCCCGCGTATTCGAGATAGAAAAACAAATAAAGATAGAAAGAAAAAAAGAGAGAAATCGAGGTTCGACGAAGAGGAGGATGAGGAGGAGGAGGAGGGTTGTTCTTTCCAGCTGGCCTGGCAAAGGAAAGAAGGAGACTTTGGTCTACGCGCGGTTGTTCGTTCGGTCAATGTCTTCTCTTTCTTTCTTCCTCGCTCCTCATTCGGTCTATCTTTCTCTTTGTCCCTCTGATTCCCTCTCTCCTAAAAGTCTCTCCTCCAAGCTCAAGAAAGGAAGGAAGGAAGGAAGGAAAGGTTTCCCTCCCTCTGTTATCCTCCCCACTATGAGTACTACTCCCGTGCTGCATCGCGCACACGAGACGACTCTGGTGCTGCGAATCCCTCTGTCATCCTACATCCTCCCACCACCTCCTCCCACCTCCAGCACCGTCGCCACCGTCGCCGTGGCCGCCACCACCGCCACCGCCACCATCGTCGATCTCTCCCGAGCAACAACGCTGCATCATATCCTGTCGTAAAACCTGTCGTGTGCCGTGTCTCGCGTTGTGTCGTACACATCTCTTATCGTGCCTTTCTTTTTTTTTTTTATTATTATTATTATTATTATTGTCCATAGTAATCTTAATCGTCGTATCTATAATACTACTTGTTGTTCTCTTCTCTTATGATAAAGAAGGAAACAACAATAATGATGTTGTTGTGCCGTTACTATTATTCGATGTTATTACAAGTTTCCGTCCAGTTATTTTCATCGTCATCATCATCATCGTCGTCGCTCGTAGATCGTTCGTTAAAAAATTCCCTTTCTCCTGCTCTGGGCTTTCATCCACCTCCTTTTCCTCTTCCTCTTCTTCTTCTTCTATTACTACTACTACTACCAGTCGTGTTATTCCAGGGGGCAAAAGACACGACTGTGGTGTTGTAGAAACGTATACTATCTCTGCTCTGCTGCTCGGAGTAGAGAGCGCCACTCGCGAACGAATGTACGAACGAACGAACGAGCGTGCGTGGCATTGGACATACCTCACGATTTAAAGCACCCGTCGGAAAAGGCGTTCTCCTCTGTCGCGCGAGGGATTTGCCGTCACCAACCCCTACCACCATCGTTACTACTTCTACCCTACCCTACCCTACCTTACCCTACCATACTAGCCCCCACTCCTCTTACGGTTACCCCCATTTTACTTCTATTCTCCTTCCCTTATCACAACGCTGTCGGTCTTTTGACGTGCGCTCGCGACACGCCGTGAAAGTTCTCTGGCCGCCGTCGGTACCGTCGCTGTGTTGCCGCCGCCGCTACCACCATTACCACCACCACCAACACCTTTTCCCTCCTTCTCCTCCTCCTCCGCAAACCACCACCACCACTATACCACTACCACCACCACTACCACACTACTACACTACCTTCACCGCCGTGCTTCCAGGACAAGGAGATAATCTTCGGAGATACCCGAACATGGTGATCGCAGTGCACGAACGCACCAACAACCGTGTATATATAGTGAAATTCCGACGCGCGGTATAGGAAATATTACATATTCTTTCTCTTAAAAAACTAACACAAAGAGAAATATAGAAAGAATTTATTAAAGTTAAATAGAGAAAGATTAAAAAGAAAGAAAGAAAGAAAGAGAGAGAGAAAGTACTAGTGGGGTATTACATTGGTCGAATCATCTTTTTTTCTCTCCTGCTTCGTCCGCCTCTCGTTTTCGATCGGTCAGAAAACGAGAATATTTTTCTTTCTTACCACGGGTTTTTCTTCTTTCTTTTTCTTTTTTTTTTTTTTTTCGTAACCTCAAAATTATTGTTGCACGTAGCACTATGTGTGTGGTTGGGATATATGTTACTTTGATGAAAATGGAAAAAAGTTTGCATTTTTTTTAATTAATGCAGTTTATTCTTGGACGAATGGAAAAAAACTACTATACAGGGATTTACCGTTGTTATTGTTGTTGATTGGTCGTCGTCGTCGTCGTTGCTCTGCTGTTACTACTGGATGCTGCTGCTGTTACTATTATTGCTGTTGTTATTGTCTAGTTTTATTTAATTACAACGCACCAATGACAACCGGATTCTTTTTATGCAAATGATCGTATAACCAATGTGTTGCTAACGTTTCTTTCTCAAGGATATCTTTTCTTTCCTTTATCCATTTTTGTTAGGGGTATTGGAGCTCTCTCTTTCCGTCGCGCGTGTGTGTGTGTGTGGTTATGTGTATATATACGTGCTGTGTCCTCTCTCCTTTTCTCTCTTTCTCTCTCTCTCTTGCGCGCGCGCGTTTAGTTCACTATCTCGCTCGCTTGTTCATTCGTTAGTTCGTCCGTTCGTCGGTAAGTGCGCTCGTGTTCCAACCAATAAGCGCGTTCTGTGAAAAATTAGGCGCGAAAGATGAAATATACGAATTATCTATTGCAATCATTCTGGGCTGCCTAAATTGACCTGGAAGTCTGGGGTAAGAGGAAGGACATATATTCCTTTTTTTATTTACCCTTTCTTTTTTTTACACATTTTCAAATATAAATTGAAAATCAATTTCGGAAGGAATGACATATTTTAGGATTTGTCGAACATGGTATGTTTTTTTCAATGGAATTTCATTCTAAAATATTTCTAATAATTTTATATCTATATATTCTTATATATATATACAGAATATTATGAAGAATATCCTTTGATAATTCTTTTTAACATTTTATTAATTTTTTTTCTTTTCAGAGTGCAATAAAGCTAGGTGGTAAAAATAATGTAAAGAAGTTGCATACGTTGCTGTCGATAGTTGACGAAAAACCAAAGCTGGATACTGGACAAAACAATAGGCACACCGAGCACCATATCAAAAATCATTTCAAGCACAACCATTATACACATAATTCCATATTGACACCATCGACGCTCAACCAGGTAAACTTGCAGTATTTAATATTACATTGTTAATTGCTTCAGCTCGATTTAACACATTCACTATTGATTTCCATTGAGAACTCAACGTAACGCATTTGTAATGGTAATCAAAGCAATAAATAAATTTTTCCTACCATGGTCTAGTAGCGAACGTGTTAGTCTTTTGTTTTCTTTGTTAGATATAATATTATATAATTATTTTACAGGGTCTAGATGCAGGTACAAGCGACGATAGTGGTAGAGCGTCTGAACAATTGCATGGCCCTGGTATACCTAGGGATTGCCAGGACGCAGACAGTTCCAGGGACCATCTCAGCGATGTATGTTTCTTGTTTCATATAACGTTACACATATGTACAAATACGCGTATACATGCTATTTACAAATGTATGCATTTATTTTACAGGCTAGCAGTCATTGCAGTTCGGGTAAAGGTTATATCGTAAGTAGTTTTAATATTTGTTCATTATCGTTTAATAATATTTCAACGATCAACCGAATTATTATTAATAAAATGTTTGGTTTTTATGTTCATTTTAGTGTGATAGTGAAGGAGAAGACGATAAGGTATTTAAAGTTTAATTAAGGTGTTCGTATTGTTTCAAATTTCATTCATTCAATAGTATCTAACAAATGTCTGTTTTATAAAGGGCTCGGATGCAGAGTCGATACTCTTTGAATCTTCTACCCCACCACCCCTTGCACGTAAATGTAAGTATTTACAAATACGATTTATTACATTATATGCAAATGTTAATTTGCATAGATACAAAAAAATGATATGAAATTATTATTTATTAGACGAGCTGCCATCTTCTTCACCGCACGTGTTGCCTCCAACGAACGGAGCAGGAGGATCTCCTCCGGACACGGGTGGACAAATTTCCAACCCTGCAACGGATGCACCGGCACCTATACCACCACCAGTGCCAGCATCTGCACCAGTTCCAACCGCACCGAGTCCTCCTAGCCCAACATTACCCCCACACATATCCCAACCACCGGTAAATACGAAAAACATATTAATAATAATCATTTCTGTATATTAAGATAATATATAAATGACATATAATAATCATTTCAGATGACTAGTCCACTGGCAGCCAATCCTCGTGCAATAGCTCCGCAGCAACGACCAGCCTCACCTGCTCTGCCACCACCTTCCTTATCCCAACAACCTCATACTACGATACCTGCATTGCATCCACCTAATGTGCCCCTCGTTTCATCGAGCCATACTACTAGTCCGGCGGTAGCTAATTTAGGTGTAGCTCCAGCGGCACCATCAAACGGTGCTGCTACTACAAGCTATCCACCACCAATACCCATGGCCGCCTATCCTCAAACGCAACCGTCTTATCCACCGCTTTATACACCGTATACAGCTCTAAATCATAGTCCGTATCTCCCACCTGCGGTACCATCTCCTTCCCATTCTGCTTCTTCGCGTACAGACGTGGTAAGTATTACATACATGATAACTGTATCTAATATCGAACATCTCAAATCTTGAGAAGAGTACATTTAAAAGATTCAGATTATTTTACGATTAGAGTTTTAAAAATGTTTAAAAAGTATTTTGTACACCGTCGATAAAAAGTTCTAATACAAATATGATCGTGTGTTCGTATGATTTTTAATATTTACTTAAGATTTATAGTGCATTAAGTTCCATATAAATTTGACACTAAGAGAAATAGTAATTTTGATCTGGATAATATAATTCATTGATATATTTGTATTATTATTTTGTTTTTCTTTTTTTCTTTTTTCAGAGAGGAAGTAGAGCTTCTCCTTGTACTAACATAAGTAAGCAGACTATAGGAAATAACATCACGAGTCATAATAATACTCCTTTGAGTGCTGCTACTACAACATGCGTGTCTACGATAACTAATACAGTTACCACGGCGAATACCATAGCTCACAGAGATATGGTTGCCTGTAGTCTGTCTGGAAGAAATAATAATAATAATTCTCCGCGTGGACATAGTCCTAGTCGAGAAAGAGACAGTTATAGGTATGATAACATATTAGTCTAGTCATTTATTAAGTTAATAATGAAATAGTAAAAGTCGGATTTGTAAACGTCTTAAGAAAGTGTAATATAATAATAGTAATGTTTGTTACAGTAGCAATGTGAGTAGCCTAAGTAGGGGCAGCATCACTCCCGTAAGTGTGCCAAACACGTCATCTCCAGCAAATTCTAGTCTAACTGCGTACACCAAACCACAAGGATGGATTGGGTGAGGAGAGAAAAAATTTTGTTTGGAAATTTCAAACGTTACGTTAACGTTAACAAAAATATTCGTACTTTTACAATCCTCGATTTTAAACTACAAACTTTATACTAAAATTCGTACGAATATTTTGTACGTTTACTGAATATTAATTTCTAAGATAAAATGATAATAATATTACTAATTATTTCTTTATTTATTAATTGTAGTAGCAACACAACCTCACAGCTCTCTCCAGCAACAGCAACGTCTGTACCAAGGCCAACTCCACCACCCGTACCTCCACTTGGGATTCATACATTTCCACCACCTATGTTCGCAGCTCCTTTACCACCACCTGTTTCTAGTTCCAGTCCGCATACTTCACTGCCTTCACTTCCTCCACCTACGACCAACCCCAACCCGTTTTCGGCAGAGTCACTTTTTCAAACAAGTAAGTTTATAAATTGATTTTAATCTTTTCTTTTTTTTTTTTTTTTTTTTTTTTTTTTTTTTTTTTTTTTTTTCAAAGGTTTTCTAAAGGACGATTATGGGATTGGATCTAACAATTAAAGGAAGGATATTAACCAAAAGAAGGGGTGACTCATGTTACAGGTCAAGCGGACCTGTTAAGGAGAGAGCTTGACAATAGATTTTTGGCGTCTCAAGATAGGAATGTCAACGTAGGGGTTGGAAATTTGGGTCCACCGCCGTATCTTAGAACGGAAATGCATCATCATCAACATCAACATACGCACGTGCATCAGCACACGACGCCGTTGCTTCCACCAGCAGCGGCAACTACGTTGTTTCCTCCCCCAATCGTAAGTTTGAATGTATGTAAATTTATTATTATTATTATTATTACTATTATTATTATTTTGTACAGCAATTTAATATCTTTTGATGCCTTGATATGAAAATAATTATTTAGTTTTGTATTTTGTGCATATATAATACACACACATATACACATACATACATTTAGTAGAAAAGAAAAAGAAATAGATTACACCACACGTTATCATCTACTTGTAAACGTTTCTAATTTTCTTTAATACAGTTCAAAGATATACCAAAACTTGGCGGAGTGGATTCCCCCTTTTTTCGAGGTAATTTAAACATATCTGGATATACCGGATTCAACACGGGAATACTTCATCCTGGGATTGGTCCTCCATCAACACCTTTTGTACCTCCCAATCATTTAACATCATTTGCACCAAAGGTAAAAAAGGCATGTGCTGAAAAAAGTATCTGAGAACAAGATTTGTATTAAACGATATATTAAATATATGTATATAAATATATATATATATATACTATATTATTATTATTATAATATATATATATTTATATATCGTGTATCACCGACACTATTCGTTTGAACAATTTTGCTTACATAAATATTCTATTACTTCTTGTAGAAGAACGGAAAATGGAATGCAATGCATGTACGCATCGCATGGGAAATTTATCATTATCAACAAAAGCAACAAGCCGAAACAAAAGCTGGAAGTGTTAACACCAAAACAGAATTGTTAAGACCCCCAAGCCATCTCTATCCAGGAGGACCCGCAAGTGGTTTGGGAATGTCTGCTCCTCCTATGGCACCTCCATTCCCAACTAATATGCCACCTGCGCATCCTGCACCACCTCCACCTCATCCCGTTGGTTTCCTATCCACGCCAACTTCTCATTTAGGTACGTGCCATTTTATATTATACACTAATGTTTTTAATATTAACCCCTAAGAGAGGTATATATAATATTGATATTATTTATTATAATTTGGTTTTTATTTAATAGGATCTGGAATGTCACCATTTGGAAGATATCCTTCAACGTTTGGAACGCCAAATCCAAACTTTCCAGGTCTCTCGAGTTTTCCTCCAGCTAGAGAAATGCCACCTTTGAGTGGCTTGAGTTCTGTTCACGATCCATGGAGAGGGTAAGTCATTTAAAAAAACAAATAAGAAATAAATTATTCTAACAATATATCCCTAAATTTAGCATAATTTTTTGTCCGTTTAGAATGTATATAAATGTTAAAAATTTCACATGGCTTGAACAGAAAGTTCAGAGTAGGGAATGTATACATATATACGACCCATATGGTACTGAACGTGTTAAACAAGAAAAGATTCTAATTGTTTTTTCTTTCTTTTTCATAATTTTAGATTGCAACGTGCATCCACTGGCTTTCCACCAACCACAGTGTCATGGGGGTTGAAACCGGAGCCGCCAGCGATCGACAGAAGAGCCGAACTGGAGGAACGTGAACGTGAACGTGAACGTGAACGCGAACGTGAAAGAGAACGTGAACGGGAACGCGAACGTGAACGGGTACGTCGTGAGAGAGAACGTGAAAGGGAGGAACAACGGGAGAGAGAAAGACGCGAACGTGAAAAGGAAGAGAAAAGAAAGCAGCAGGAAGCTGCTGAAAGAGAACGCGAAAGACGAGACAAGGAGCGCCGTGAAATGGAAAGGCGCGAGTTAGAAAGAGAAAGGTTGTCACATCAAAATCGTCAGCACGTATTAGTTGGTAGGGAACGTTCACCTTTGAGAAACGGTTCGGCACCGTTGGACGCTGGTGAAGTAAGAGTTAAAGAAGAACCGCGTAGCAAGGATGACGAAGTAGTGATGCTCCCAAGGCCATCAGGTCCTGGTCCAGGTGGTACGTCAGGTACTGGTCCTGGACCAAATCCACTGCCTGATCCAAGATACCATCATCCGCATCCTCACACATATTTAACGAGGCATCCGCACAGTATGCCAGGACCGCATTCAATGCCACGAAGTATGCTTCCAGGCTTAGGTGCACATCCGATGCAACATTTCCCACCACCGTCTGCGGCGCCAGGTCAACCAGGTGCTCCTTGGCCTGCCGATCCCTTTAGGGATTACAGATACGATCCTCTTCAACAATTACGGTATAATCCTCTAATGGCTGCCTTCAGAGCCGAAGAGGAAGAACGTGCTAAACTTTACGCCGGATATCCACCGGGCCCAGTTAATTCATTAAGAGGCAAAGATCCTAGTCCTGGACCATTAAGTAATTTACATATGCACCATAGGGCAGGTCCTGGGCCGGGTGTACAAGCTAGACAACTCGAGCCTACATTAATGCACGCAGACATACACAAAAAAGAGGACGCCTCGCAATCCCGATGATACATCCTCCCTACGTCCTCAGCTTCTGCTGCAAGTGAACGCAGCACCGATGCCAACATCATCAACATTACCAACACCAACAACAATTTTTGAACAATTCGTGTTATATCAAACACTATCTTCTATATATACTTTTTCTCTCTTCTTAATTAATTAATTACTTACTTACTTATTTACTTATACATATTTACTTATTTACACATCATATCGTGTCATCCATCAATTCGGTAATCGGTGCTGAGATATTTTGCTAACGGAGATAAATAAATGGGGCGTTTATTATATTTAAATATAATATAACACACGGAGATGGATATTAGAAAACAACTTAAAAAAGAAAAAGAAAAAAAAAACAAGAGAACATCAAGAAGGAAAAAATATAAGGGGAAAGAAAAAAAAAAACAAAGAAACACAAAACCAATACACACACAAGAATAAAATTGTATATAGATATTATGTAATATTTATAGTTATCAAAGAGAAAGAAGTAAGAGAAAAGATAACGTGTGGGTAGAATATTATTAATTATTATTATTATTATTATTATTATTATTATTATTAATTATTGAAAAACTTCGACGAGAAATCAGGAAGAGAGGCACACAGTATAATAACCGTCGTACGAATTTATATACGGTGATATATGATGCTTTCTTTTTTTCTCCCTAACTCCCTTTTAAACAAAAATCACCCTCACCCAGAAGCCCCCGGCAACCCCCGAAACCCCCCAAGTCGTCTTCGTCATCGTCGTAGAAGAGAGAAGAATAATAATTAAATCATCGCAATCATCATCGGTGGTTGTTTTTTTGTGATTCTACGGAAAAAAAAGAAAAGACTACTGAAGGATTTTATTTGCATTGTGGTGATGCATTTAAAAAAAATGTGCAGAGGGTGGCACATTTGATGATGATGATGATGATGATGATGATGATGATGATGATGATGATGATAATGTATGGGATATCCGTGCTAGAAAAAAAAAAGATAAGAAAAGGTGACGACAAAAAATGTGATTTCTACGATTTTTAGATATTTGACTGTCATAGGTGTTATACAATTTCAATTTTAGTAATTATTATTATTATTATTATCATTATTATTATTATTATAAAAATAATAATTATGCGCATTGTTTTTAACACATAAAGAAAGAACAAAAGAAAAATGCAAAAAACAGCGGGAAAGTTAATGTGTGTAATATTTAAAAATAGTTACTATTATTATTATTATTATTATTTTAATTCTTATTATTATTTTTATTATTATTATCATTATTATTATTATTATTGTAAAAAAATATGCAGGAAAGAGAATAGCAACGTAGA